TATAAAATTTGTCAGAAAATACATAAAAAATGCAATTAAAATGTGAATACAAAATATGCCATACTCTTCAGATTTTAGTCATCCTGAAAAAGAATTCATTAGAGGGACTCAGATTTATATAATGGTTTTAAAGTATATGCCTGTGAAATTTAGTTCTTGACCAATTAAGGGTAATTAATAATCTTTCAAAGTAGAAAATATTGATGTTACCTGTAAAATGGCATTTGACTTGTCTTCTCTTTCAAGATGAGATTTTATTCTTTCATTGCCATATTGTGAATTAAATATAAACTTCTATACATTAACAGCCACATTTTAGATTAAATATTGGGGAATATGAAGTAGAAATGTCAGTACTAATTTGAGTTTTAAATGAACTGAAATAATTTTATAACTTAAAATTCTAATTAATAGTTTTCATTCATATAGCAACCTGAAAATGGGCTTCTAAGAATTTATTTTTCAACTTTTAAATATAAATGAATTGAGAAGACCGCAGAAGAAAGACTCCATGAGAGGGGAGACAGCTATAGTAAAACAGCTGTCAAGAGTCCTGGATTCTGGTCCCAATTAAGTCATTACTATGGGACATTACTTTGGATATGCCATTTAACTTCTTTGTGACTCAATTTCTTTCTTGAAAATTAAAGGGGCTTGAGCTGCTTTAAAATTATAATATTAATGAGTTAGTGGTTTAGAATATAACGAAAAAAGCAGATTTAAGTTAGAACACTTTAATTTAAAAAAGAAATCACTGGGACTCATGTTAAGAGACCTATTAAAAATAGCACTTGGACTAATGAAAATTATCTTCATTTACATGAACCTCAAAATTATTGCTAAGAAAGAAAATCCAATATTACCCAATTAATTGTTAATTTGAAATTTGAAAGATAAAAAGGGCCTTGGTGGTATATAATGCTGCCTATATTATATTAACAACTAGCATATAAAAATATATATAGCTGAAACCGGTTTGGCTCAGTGGATAGAGCGTTGGCCTGGGGACTAAAAGGTCTCAGGTTTGATCCCAGTCAAGGCCATGTACCTTGGTTGTGGGCACATCCCCAGTAGGGGATGTGCAGGAGGCAGCTGATTGATGTTTCTCTCTCACTGATGTTTCTAACTCTCTATCCCTCTCTCTTCCTCTCTGTAAAAAAAAAAAAAAAAAAAAAAAAAAAAATATATATATATATATATATATATATATATATAGTATAGTGTCTAGAACTTAGGAAGCATTCCTTAAAGTTATTATTTCTATTTGTTTTATCACAGCATTCAAGTCACTATACTTTTGAATCTTTATTCTTTAACCTATAATATTATTTTTCCCCAATAGCAGCATGTAATAAATTTAGTAATATTTCTTCTATATGAAAATTAGTAATAAAATTAGATACGAGCAGGGTTGTAGCCTACAGAACCCAGCTGAAAATCTTTCAGAATAAAACCAAATCATCATGAAATAGAATTAGTAAGTTTTAAGAAAGGTTAATCATACAGTCAAAATCTAACAAACATCTACATCATATTTTATGCATAAGGATGCCATGATAAACTGGATTAATACTTTAACAAAGATAAATACTTTAGGACTATTTTTATATGAATTTAAGTAACAAAAAGCATTACAAACTTTCATACTTCCAAAGTTATACAAAATTTAAATAAGGAGTAAATAAAAAATTAGTAACAAATCTTATTTTCTAAATGACTTACAGAAATTTCTAACACTACAGAAAGTTATTGATTTTGAAAATGTTCTTTAAAATTTTACTGACAAAAATTAATTGTAAGATATGAACAGGCCAAACAAATCTCTGTATATGTATTACATGCAAGTACCTTTCTTTAGGAATGCTGCCACTGAATTACATTCTGCTTTATATTTTTGCTGTTAAAATCACTAGACTGAAGTTATGTCTTCTTAGGCTGCTCTTATGCATGAACAACAAAGTCATTGTCAGTATCATTTATCTGACTTAGCTATCAGTCAAGAAACGAACAATGAAGCTAGGCTATGGGTAGATGGGTTAGGGGATGTACTGTTTGCTCTACTTTCCTTGAAGTCTGGTCTTCGAGGAAAGTAGACTTCCAGACACTGTATATTATGTTTGGGTGATGGGTACCAAGATGGCCTCCATAATCTGGTGCTAGGACAGAACCTAATATGAGCCATGCAGATAGAACATATCCATAACCAGAAGATCTAGTTGCAAATCACACAATAAATTTGTTTTTGAATCCTTCAATAAATTGTCTTAAGAAGTAAGGTTGTATAGTGTCAAAGAGGACAAAAAAGTAGAGTCAGACTACTTGGGTGTAAATCCTGGCTAGTTGTATAACAATAGGCTCTAACTCTCAAGTTTTCTCATTAGTCAAATAGGAAAAAAACAAGTGACTTGTTGAAGTTACAGAGTAAATTGCCCTTCATCGGCAAACTGGCTCTCGAGCCACATGTGGCTTGCTGGCCCCTTGAGTGTGGCTCTTCCACAAAATACCACGGCCTGGGCGAGTCTATTTTGAAAAAGTGTCGTTAGAAAAAGTTTAAGTTTAAAAAATTTGGCTCTCAAAAGAAATTTCAATTGTTGTAAGTGTTGGTATTTGGCTCTGTTGACTAATGAGTTTGCCAACCACTGAGTTAGACTGTGAAAGCGAGAATGGCATTCTGCAACCCACTCTTTTCTCCCCACCCTCTCCAGTATGATAGCAACTGCCCTTACGTTCAAAGAGTAGGTGAAACTAAGGGACAAATTTTCAGAGCCAAGATATTCTGTCAGCCTTTCGCACAGGGTGGTTCTTACCAGTGCCATCCTCGGGTGTTCGAGGCTTAATTCTTATGCCTTCCTTTCTTAGGCCACTGCATAACTGCCTAAAGCTGAAGCTATGAATGTTTGTAGACTGGGAAAGAAGAGAGGTGATCATTTTATGAGGTTCAAAAATGAGCAAGTATGAAATTGGATGATAGGAAACAGTGAGTTAAGAATGCCCAAGGAGTCTTAACACTTTTGACATCATAAATTTCTCATGGAAAACATATTTCCATAGAGAGGTCTTCAGGAGATGAATTTTTTTCACCAATGTTCATTGACATTTTATGTGCTTCTTCAATAGCATATCTTATGCTAAATCTTATTACAAAACCTGACGTTAAAATAGGGAGATAATTGTGTCATTTTTTTTTAAATGGCAAAAACTTTATAGTCTAAAATGGGCAGTCTCCATTTGAATAAAGAACAAATTTAGAAGTGAGCTTTTCTTCTATATACCTTGGGATATATCTTGGGATTAAAAAGACACTGAAAGATTCCAACCAAAACCAAAATTATGTATAAAACAGAAAATTCAACAGTCGTTTCTGAAGATAAAAAAATAACTATATATTACTGCATAACCAACAAAGTTTGAAATGATAATTAAGGTTAACATTTCCCAGTGAATATAACTATATAAACTAGCATGACAAAAAGAAAAACTTTCTAATAACATAAAAATAAAGTGAGACATTATTAAAGAAGTATCCTTTCAATAATGTTCTTAGTCCTAATAAATTTGTTAAATGATGTCTTTCAAATATTCAAGCTCAGTCATTCCATGATACATATTCCATTCAAAATATGAAAGGAAATGAAAGGTAGTCATTATATTTAACAAAGGAAATATAACCCCAGTATAAAAAATCAGACATAGAAATTATTCCAAAAATTTAATTATGTATAGTCACTTTCATGAAAGGTAAAATTTCTAGGTAACGAAATTCTAAAAGTTCTTTGGTAAATTATGTGTAGCAAAGTCCCTTCTAACTGTTTACATTATATAACAGTAAATAAGCTTTAAATATTAAGATAGAATATACTATAAAGAACATTTGCTGTGAAGTATTACGCTGTAGTGTTAGTTCATAATTTAAATGATTTAATTATTACCCAATGATTCACTAAAATCCCACAAATACAAAGAGGTAAAATAATTGATTCTCCACAAATGAAGAGTTCTTTGCCCAAAAACAGACCACCTTATTTAAAAAATGACCAGAGGTGCTAAATCAGCCAACGTTAATATTACTAAACAGGGTTCAATTTACAAAATGCTGACAATATGGACACTACTTCTAAGAATGTTTACAACTTAACTTCACTATATAGCAAACTTTATCAGTTGGGAAAAAAATAAATCTATTTCAGTTGCCTAGAAAGTCACCCAATTTAATACAATTCAAAAACTATATGATGGAAATTTTGGAGGAAATAAATAATATAGTAACAGGACAATAAAAATCTTGGATTTAAATCAAAAATTGAATTATTCTCTTTTCAAAATATGGTGTACCTTAAGCCTTCACAAATTTTAGAGAATATTCAAATTTTTATGACCAAAAAACCCATTTGATTATGTTCCCCAAAGTTCAGTTATATATCTGTCCATCATTTTTAAACTTTGAAAACCTTAGAGTGAGCAATTCACTTCAAAGGACATTCATGAAGACAAAGTGATTAATATAAAATAGTCTCTATCACTCATTTTTACTGGGAGGGGGGCCCCTAGAAAATTTTCATTAAATCAAGGATAGTGAAGATTACAGAATAAAAGAGTCAGTCTTTTAGAGAAGCATTTCCTTGAAATTTAGGGTTTTGATAATATGAGGAAAATGGAATAAAGGTAGAAAAATATAAATAAAACTCTAAGGTATTTAAAAATTGAGGTTATAAAATTATACTCCTAATGTTGTAAATTGAACCCTGCTTTATTTTAAAGTAGAGCAAAGATGAAAATTAATAGAATAATTCACACAAGTCAGAGGAAGAACTGCAACCCAATTTAACTGATTTTTAATAATTATTGCCCTGAGTTCAGAAGAAATACAGCCCAAGAGATTGTTTAGCACAGGAATAACAAATTAATATATACAAATGCAATGCATTAGATAATTTTTTGGTATTGAGTTAACATTGCATATAGCAAGAATTAGAAACAAAACAGAAATTTCTAGGTCCTACCTATATCACTGGCTACCATCTTGGAAAACTTTCTGCTTTTGGTCTTCACTGAAAATAATATTTTGATATAAATGTCAAAATCTAATCAACATAAACTAAATAAATTAAACATAATTAAAATAAATACTTTAAATTAAGATACTATACCCTTTTCTATAAAATTATTCATTTTTTGTTCATCATCTGAATTGAGTGGTGATGAAGAACCTACACAAATGAAGACAATGGAAGGAACAGGCAGACAGTCAGTCACAAACACTGAGTTGTCACAGGGAAAAATACAAACAAAATAATCTGGTAACCTCTAAAACAAGATTCTATATGATTGGCCACAAAGAAATGTCATGTATATAGTTAACAAGAATTATAATACTACAATAAGAATGGAAATCAATATTGCATTATCTATCATGGTAGACCAATTCCTAGTATATATAAATAACAATTCTAATTTATAATATTTTTAGAAGTTACATCCATTGGGCAAAATTTTGGTAAATACTGTATGTTAGAAAACAGAAAAAGAAAAATATAAAGTAGAAGTTAACTGTTCCTGAAAAAAATGTAAAGTTCTTGATATTAGTTAACTGAATAAAGTTTATCTAGTAGAACTCAGAATCCTGTACAAGTACTAGACTAGTAAAACTGAGAGTTAGCTTTCTAGATACAAACTTCAAACGAAAATACAAATTCAATTATTACCATAAAAACTTTAAAATACTGAGGGTAGTACTTATAAGTTCAGCTATGTTCAAATACTTATTTAAATTTATAAGGTTAAGACATATAAAATTTTATTTCAGCTGTGTCTTCTAATATTATTTTATTTTTAATGAGAGAGGAAGGAGAGAAAGAGAAACATCCATGCCTCCTGTCTGAGCCCTGACTGGGGATTGAACCTGCAATCCAGGTATGTGCCCTGACTGGGAATCAAACCTGCAACCTTTTGGGGTGCTTTTGCTAAAAAGCATTTATAGGTTCTCATAAATCCTATATTAAAAAATCACATAAGTAATATTTAGCTCAGTGACATTTTTAGGGATAGAAATAACGCATTTGTTTTTCATATAAATATAATTCAGATGTAAAGAAGAATGTGGTTATGATACAATGCTAAATATTTGATAAAACCACTGTCATTTCTGATACTAACTACAGTCACATGAATGTATAAAAGTTATTAATACTTTTTTCATATATTAGGAAGTAGAGCAGTAACAAGATAATATATCTAAACATAAGTATAAAACTGTATGTCTAGTATTTCTATAACTGTACATTTTAAAAGCAGATTTATAGATTTATCCCCTAACTAAAAATGCCCACCACTGCTTATCATTCTTCTGTGATATCTCATGAAAAAGTTCCAAAATTATATTGAGCATGCCCTACTTGAATACATTTGCCAAATTACTATGATTAAATAAACATAGAAAATATACACAGCCTTTAGTTTTTTTTCCTAGGGTACATGGCAATTCATGAAGGCACCATTTATATCATGGTATGTGTGGCTTTTGCAACTTGAAGTAACCTAATAAATGTGTTTTTTTAAAAATCATTTTAAGGTAAATACACACACAAATTTCGAATGCAGTGCTAAAATAAAAATTCCAACACTACTAAAGTGTTCAGTGAAGTAAAGTGAGTTTTTAAAAATAAAGATCAAAGAGATGAAGTAATAATTTTCAATGTTAATTCAGGAAGGCAGAATTAATTTTATATTTCAGAGAAACTGATTATCCTATATAATAAAAGGGTAATATGCAAATCGACCAAATGGTGGGATAACCCGGTGTTATGATGAGCACTAAACACCAGGGAGCAGATTCTCAATGCAATAGCTGCCCCCTGGTGGTCGGTGAGCTCCCACAGGGTTGGGGGTAGTGCCACTCAGCCACAAGCCAAGCTGATGGCTGGTGAGTATAGCAGCCCGCGGCCACAGTAGCGCTAGGGATGTCTGACTGAAGCTTAAGCCATCAGTCGGACATTCCTAGACTGTGAAAGGGGAACCCCCAACCCCCGCTGCCATGCACCAGGCCTTTAGTTTAAAAATAAATGGGGAAAGAAAACTATTTTTAATATAACTTTGACACTGACTAAACTGTTATCACAAATCTTGATCAAGAGATTTAAAAATTTTTCAAAAAAGTTCCTCTTCATTTATATATATTATTTTGAGTAAATACACTTGTTTTGATAAAGGGCATAGTCATTTCTATAATATTGGTCCTCCTTAGTATTTGAGGAGCTCATTTTAACTTCCAACCCACTGTTATACACTTCCTTTTCTCTCATCGATACAAAGAGTTTTCTATTAACTATATTGGTTTTAATAATCTATACTGTACCATTTAACTATCTACTTGTCTTATTTATTTTCCACTGCAGTACAGAAAGTATTTAAAGCTAGTAATTTAATTACTACTTTCCAGGCTTTTAATAACATAATCCCCTTGTGGTGCTTTACATTCACCTCAAACTCACTCCAGCCATTTTTCTTTTCTGATCATGCTAAATCAGCAGGATTGTGTTCATGAAAGCGATAATAAATTATTCCTTTATCTCCTTATTAGAATGCTAATAGGAATGAAGGCAAACATACAAATGTACAAACAGTAAGACAACTGGCCTATGATAGGTAGCAAAGACTGCTGTTAATTATTCAAAAACATACAAGCAAGTGGAAGACATAAGCTATTAACAATATAGTGTCAAAAGGTAGATTTTCAGAATTTTATTCAGAAATAACTCTAGTCGTGTAAAGTGGAAAATACAGTTACCTGCTCCATATCATTCATTTATATTTTATTCTATCAATGCTCAGACTTAGTATTAGGTGCTCAGTATGTTAATGATTCCTATGGCTCAATATATTTCATTAGTTTGATAAATGAATTTAAATATGAAATTTAAAGATTCAAGAAAACCAGAAGGTAGATATATTTTAAGGAATGGTACACTTGTATATCAGGAAATTACATTTTTAAGAAGAAAACCTTTTGCAAACCTATAACTGATAAAATGCTAAACTGAAATATTAGAGAGTGAAGTAAAATATACTTCTCAATATTTCCCATTCTTAGTATTATGATGTAGTAGAACAAGCTAAGGATCAGAATCTAAGAATAATTTACTTTATGCTAAAAACAATCTTTCTAGTAGAAAGTTGATGAAAATTTCTAGCCAGAATGATTTAATAAATATGGTAGTAAAAATTATGAAATCAACTTTATTAAAGATAAGCAAAGTTTTAATCCACTGAAAACATAATAAATTCAGGATCCTCTTCATCTTATGGAGACTGAAAAGCTACTAAAAGTTCCCCTAAAATACCAATATTTAAATAGGTTACATAAAGCCTTATATATACATAAAAAGGGCAACTGCTTTAATATAACTATAAAATTATATTAAATCTTACTCGATAAAAAATAAGAATATAAAATAGTCTACAATTGTCATAACTGTCAACAGTCACCAGAAGAGTACAAATGTTAAAAATCTTTCATATTTAATTGGACATTACTGGAAGATTATTCTTCTCCCAAATGATGACAGGCATGCCTAAAGCAAAGACAAGGTTAGATAACTAAACCATTTGATTCACTTGTAAAAAGTGAAATCTATTTTCTCTAAAGAATATATAACTAGTAGAAACCTAAGTAAATAGTTATATGGCTCTTAATAGGTAACAGCTGTAGAGTTTTATCTAGGGCCTTTATTTTCACTTAATGAAAAAGCAAAAAATACTGAAATGATTTTTCAGAATATTCGACACCAAAGCTTCTTATAGTTTTATTTTAAATCCGTACCTATAAAATGGAATACTGACATGCTATGTTGATTTTTGTAGAATTATAATTATTAATGAAATAAAACTCAAATTACCAGAAGTTGGAGATTTGCAGCGATCCTCTGGGACTACAGTCCCTTCATTAATATCACAGAGACCTGCTAAAAAATAAAACCAAAAACCAAGTCACATCACAAATTTATATAAATGCAGTTTTATCTACTATTTGTAGTACACATTAAATGACCATCCATTAAAAAAATCCAGATTAATAAACACCTGCTACTATGCTCTAATTTTGAGATAGAAATGTTAAGTTTTGATATTAAAACACCCCAAATTAATACAGCAATCATCAGTTAAACAAATGAAAAACAGAATTTTCAAGAGATAATTTGCTATTCTTCAAGAAACATTAGACATAATGCGAGGCTTTGTTTAAAATCAGTAATTTGAGAGGCATTATAATTATTATTGGATTTCTCTTGAAGAATCAATACTGATAATAAGTCTGGTGATTGTTACATCACAGGGATCCCCAACTCAAAGTGGTTTCCCTATGTATGGTTCAAACATCTCCCTAATATATGTTTGAATAATAATTAAACATATACTTTGTACCTCCAAATCTTTAATTTTAAAATAGTGCACATTACTTATCTTGCAAGGTGGCACCTCTTAAAAACTATGCCAGCACCTTTCTAAAAAAGCTCTAGAGAACTACTTTCTTTTTACAGGTATAAATGCATTAGATAAAATTATCTATAGCATGGCCTAAATTCAGAGGAGAAAACACAGCAAGAAAAGACAAGACATGGCAAATGCAAAGTAAACAATTAGTATGGGTATTAATTTTCTTAGTGATTTAAATGAAAAGAATTTCTGCATATTCCTTAAAAATTACAAGTAAACCCATCAAAAGTTTGGCATAGTTGGACAAGACAGAAGAGGTCACACATCTGGGCTTCTCAAAAAATTATGTATCATACAGACCAGTGATTGTGGCACACCAAAAAAAAAAAAAAATATATATATATATATATATATATATATATATATATATATATATATATATATTTTTTTTTTTTTTTTTTTTTTTTGTGGATCTGACAAAAAAATTGGTATAATTTGGATCCATTCATATCCAATGACTATAGTTGTGTTAGCTGTTGTCATTTTATTATTTTACAATCTAAGAGGAAAGAGGTCAGTGACCCTAACTAAATAGTCAGGTACAGCATGTTTTAAAAATTCTTGTGGCACACTGGTTGAAAATCGCTGATGTGGACACATGATCAGTATCTGCTTTTCCATTCCTTTGATAAAAGACATGATGCCACAATGTCTTTGATGTCACCAAGAAAGCTCTGACAGTAATATTTTCAGAAAACACTAAGTACTGAATTGAATTTATTAGAAGTGTTTTCTATTTTGAACATTATATTATTTGTCTTCATTGGGTAGAAAGTTTTTGAATGACAATCAGTTTTCTTCTCAAAGTTCATCAAACTAGTGTTTCTGGAAAATCTAGTTTTTATAGTTCTAAAAGGATAGATGAAATTATAGGTATGACAAAATATTTGCTTATATAAAAATGATGGTAGGTTTTAATAGTAGTGATATATGGTAATAACCTAAATATCTGTTAATGAATGCATAGGATAAGAAAATGATATATCACTAAAAAAAATGAAATTTTGCCATTTGCAACTACATGGATGGACCTCAAGGGCATTATGCTAAATGAAATAAGTTAGAGAAAGACAAAATATTTTATGATCTCAGTTATATGTGAACCAAAAAAACAAAAACTAAAACAAAAGAAAATGAAAAAATCCCCATAAGCTCATAGATAGAAAAAACAGATTTGTGATTGCCAGAAATGAGGGGACGTGGGGATGGGACAAATGGGTTAATAGGATCAAAAGGTATAAATTTCCTGTTTAAAAAAATAAGCCACGGGGATGTAATATACAACATAGTGACTATCCTCCTATATAATAAGTCTAATATGTTAAGTGCCTGGTCTTCCGGTAATCTGCTCAACCAATAAAAATGTAATATGCAAATGATATGCTAAGGCCGCTCAACCACTCACATTGACGTGCACTGACCACCAGGGGACAGATGCTCCGACTGGTACATTAGCTTGCTGCTGGGGTCCAGCCAATTGGGACTGAGTGAGATGGGCCAGACATGCCCTGCAACCTTCCCATGGTCCCTCCCTGGCTGGCAACCTCCCACATCCATTCCTGGCCCTGATCGTGCACCAGTAGGGTCCCTCAGCCTGGCCTGCACCCGCTCGCAATCCGGGATCCTTTGAGGGCTTGTCAGAGAGCTGGTTACGGCTCAATCCCACAGGCCAGGCCAATGGACACCACTGGTGCACAAATTCATGACTGGGCCTCTGGTAGTTAATAATACTACATTGCATAGTTGAAAGTTGCACAAAGAGCAGATCTTTTTCTATATTACTGAAAATATTGAACCTACCTGAAAGTACTTGCAATTACATAGTCAAAAACTTCATTTTTTTAGAGCTTCCTCTCATATATTTTGGAAATATCCTTCCTAAAGTTTAGATATAGTTTGATACAGCCAGCTAATTACCATCTTTATAATTATCAACTTCCAAGACCAAATAAACACATTTTCTCATAAGTCTATCGCTTTCACATTACTAATTAAATCTATTTGGAGTTTAGAATATATTTAGAATAGAAATTTTTCTTTTGTGTCCTTCATAGAGTGAAAAAGTAGGCAGCAAAATTATATACACATTATTACATTTCGCTTTTAGTAGAATTAAAGACTAGCAAATATATGGGTAGTTGAAACACTTCAACAGGACTTGTCCATGTAACAGTTTCATAAATTTTACTATAAAAACACTATATATTTTAGTCAATGGTTCAATTAAATACAGCTCTGAAATACTTAAATAGTATGTTTTATCTTATAAATTAATTTCATAATTTGTGAAAATATATTTGTACCTATTGATGGCAAAAATTTATCTATTCAAACTGATCTATTAAAAAAGACAGAGAACAGTTTGACAATATTTGGACTATACTTCAAGCACACCTTAGTCAAGCAACGGAAAATGTGAGTGAAACAAGGAGACAAAGATACTAGAAAGGTATATCTGGGACAATTTCTGCTGAAGACAACACATGACAAAAGGATTACACACACAAACAAAAATGCGGGGGGGGGGGGGGGGCGGTATTCAACAAGATACTAAAGTCTATATGCCATCATCTTTTTCCTTCTCTCATGAATTGTGGCACAGGTAGTATTAGCCAATAATGTCCTGAAAGCAACTGAGAAATGAATCTCTGAGAGAATTTTACTTCAGCAGGACTGTGTTAGGGAGTGTAGACCAGAGATTTCCACTGTGACTGGCATTCTACACATGGGTTAAATACAGAGTTTCCTTCAATCCTAGGTGCAAGAGGGCAAGTCCTAGGAAGACTGGAGCCTGCAGGCCAGTTACCGCTGGAGACCTCATTAACATACCCTTAATGTGACAAAGATCCAATGAAATTTTCTGTGTGTGCATTGAGGTTAAAGAAAAAAAAAAAAAAAAAAAAGGTGAGGGGTACTATAAGGACAGCTAACTATGTGTTCCATAGTTATTACTACTAAAACATTTAAAATTAAGACTAATTATCTAGCAAAAACAAAATAATGCTATAAAGAGAATTCTTAATGGATTTGTGTTTGCACTGAATCAAAGCTATCTGAGAACACTAGACTGAAGATTTAAAACTCACTTTTAAAAAATATATATATATTTTATTGATTTTTTTACAGAGAGGCAGGGAGAGGAATAGAGAGCTAGAAACATCAATGAAAGAGAAACATCGATTAGCTGCCTCCTGCACACCCCCTACTAGGGATGTGCCTGCAACCAATGTACATACCCTTGACCGTAATCAAACCTGGGACCTTCAGTCCGCAGACCGATGCTCTATCCGGTTTCGGCTAAAATTCACTTTTGCATGTACTTTTTCACACGGGAAATACTTTGTTTTAATTAAATAGTTGAAAAAAATTAATTGGCCTCACAATGACAACAATAAAAGGGAGGAAACTTTGAAGTACACTTTTGGTCTATAATAATGAGACAAAATTTCCTGTCGTTACAATTTAGCTAAAGAAGTTTAATACTGGGGTTCTTTCCTAATGTTAAATAAAATCCTACAATATTAAAAACAAAAGCAAAATCTAAAAATACAAAACAAAAAAGAGGCTCAAAACTTTATTAATTTTTGACAGTTTAATATTACAGACTAAATTAGACAAGCTATTTAATTAACAGAAGTACTTATATTCACAGAAGTAGCTCAGCATTTATAGAAATCTTAAAAATTAGGATTTTTTTTCTTTTACCTCCTGAAGGTTGTCGAGATTTACGAGGAGACCGGGGTTCTCTCCTGTAAGGATCGTTGGAGCCATATAATTCAATAGTGCCCAAATTGAGGAGTACTGCCTTCTGAAGGTAGTCAACAATCGCAATGCCATTACAATTGCCAAAAACAACCCTGGAACAGGAAAAGAGCTAATACTTTAGCACAAATGAGAATTACAAGAAAATGTAGTATATAATGCTAAAAAGATAACATGAAGAGTCTTGGAGAAAATTCCTCTTCAAACAAAAGCTTTTCACAGACAAAAAAACAAAAACAAAACAAAACAAAAAAACAGGTGATAAACAGCTTCTCATAGAATTGTGTAGATCTTTTGCAGACATTGATAATTACAAATTAATATCATAACACATTTTTAACAAAAAAATAATTTGGCACTTGAGCAGAGACATAAATCCTTATGCTGGACAATGTGACATCTATTTTTGAGCCTGTTAGGGAAGACACTCCTTTGCAATGAGAAAGTAAGGGACTGTATCTTTGAAAAAGTTTGGTAATCAACAATGAATAAATTCTTTTCCTTTAAAATCCTTAGCCAGGAGTTGAAAACTGAAATGTACAGAGAGGCTATATAAGGAAGTACAAAGCAGCTAAGGACAGTGGTAAACTGGATAATGTACTACTACCTCCCCTATGAAGAGGAAAAACTTTAACTTGGTTTCAAATGACTTTTACCAAGCAACAATGGAGAACAGTTCTGATAATCAAATTTTTTTCAGTGGAAACTCTAAATATAGATTTTCAAAGTAAATAATCTTGGCAACAAGTTCAAATTTTAAAAATACACACACACAAAAAAAAGGCTAAATAAATTACAAATGTGAGTCAAGTGAGGCCTATGATCAACTGATTGCAACTTCTTTTGAAAATTCCTATTGTTTCCTTTTCTTTTTCTTTCTTTGTTTCCTTTTGGTAAACAAAGTAAAATATTAAAAAGGAGATTTGTGTCCTTACATTGTGGGACAGCAAATAAAAGACATGAAAGAAAATTATTGCAGACTATAGCCAGTCTTAATTGGGTGCACAACTGCTAGAGATAGAGTAGGTGTAACAGCAACAGGAGGAAGAAGAAGAAGGAATAAGTCCCTAGGGCTAGCATCAAGGAAGGAGACAGTGACCTACACATGCTAAATAGCTCTGGGACTGAACAGTTAGTATGTGGTTTCTCATATCACAATATTGGTTTTAAAGTAGACATTATAATAGAATGTACATACAATTAATATTATATACTTGAAGGCATGAATTAAGTATTCTTATACTACAGATACTTTGTTAAAATATTACTACTATGCTTTTATAATCTATGCAAGTTAACTTTGGAAATAGAACAAATTATATAGCTGTGGTTGACTATTTACAGATTCAGCTTATAATACACAGTCTTCTGAGTCGATGCTGTGAGATCTGTACTATACTGATTAATCATAAGAAATTTCTGAGAGAATATCCAGGATAGGATATAGTGACTTTAAACCTTTATCTCAAATAATTCACTGGTCCATGAGTCATTTAATTTAATATCAGGAAGTAATATAACCATACCAGGAATAACTAATTCAGAACAGAATTATATTCCAAATAAATACCGAATTTGGTCTAAAAGTAGTTATATAGTAACTTTTTAAGTGATACTATAATGAAGGTCATCATTTCTATTAAAATATACGAAATACTATGAAGAGTCTGAGAAATATATAAATTATACTTACAATCCATAGGAAGAATTGACTGCCAGGCTGGTTATTTGTTGTGGTGGTTCTCCACCCACCCACACCAACTGAATAACTAGTTCTGTTTGATAACCTGGAGACTGCTTAAGTGGTGAATTTTTAACTCTGTAATAAGGAAAAACATGTTACATTTTATATCTTATTAGCCTATGTAATTAGAGTCATGCATAAATACCTATACAAAATAACTTGTACTAGATATTTTAAAAGTTAATTCGATCCTCTACAAGCATTTAATCTAGTTGGAGATCAAACATGTACATAAGTAAAGAAAATAAGAAATCACATATAAGTTACACATATAAAGTTGAGGAGGTAGCAAAGGGGTCGTGAGGAAAGGGAGAAGTGGGCGGAAGGGGAAGGAGGGATGAAAGGAGGACAGGAACACTAGAAATGAAAAAGGTGCCCACATAACATCTGGCTGTGAAAAGAAGCAGGGTTGTTGTCTGCCAGGTAAAGATGAGTAGAAATGCAGACAACCTCTTAAAGGGCCAATGCATAAAATTTCATGTGCAGCCATTCATATTGGGCTCTGGAATTGGTGGGCAGGGTAAATTGGAGCTATGTAAGCAGCAGACAGCATTGAGGGCCCTGAGGTTGGAGCTTGGAGGGAAGCCACCCTGACTGCCTATGCTGAGTCATTCCCTCACACCATGAAGGAAATCTTTCTCCAGTGAACCTTTGCTACCACATGGCTTTTGCCAGGGTTTGGGGGTGAGGCAGTTGCCCCACCCTGTTGGAAGATCGCTCACTCCACTCTGTGGTCAAGAGCCTGAAGCTAATCAAGATTGAGGGTCATGGGACTGTAGGTAGAGGTGGGTCTCTAGAGTCTGAGTCTTTGCCTGATATAACTGGGACCTCAGGCTAGAAAAAGCAAACTCTAGTGCACATCTTGGTCCATTCCAAAGATACCCAGTCCCAGAAAAGCTGTGGAATACAAGCAGTCCTTGGGTTACATCGGACTCAATGTACATTGTTTTGTGGTTATGTCACCATCAACCATTTATTTATTAAAAAAAAAACAAAAAAAAGTTCCATCATTTCTACGTACGTGCTTTATGTTTTGTATTATTTAATAACCACAAGTAAAAGTCAGGAATTGTTATCTTTCTTTTAATTTTTTTTTATTGTTTCATTTCATTACTGCTGTGTATGTGCTCCATGTAAGTGACGTAGGTGCTTATGTAGGTGGGTTCTGATTTACAGTGAAAATTGTTAGTTGTGCCATAGGAACAGATCTCCGACATAACCTGAAGACCTACAGTACTGATAGCTATAAACAGGATACTCAGGGCTAGTCACAGAGTGTGACATTGTCCTGAATTAGAGATTGGGAGTCATAGCAGAGCTATCTAATACCCAGACAAATCCAAACAGGCAGCCAAAATGGGGAGATAAAAAAAAAAAAAAAAAAAAAAAAAGCCCCAAATAGAAGAACAAGAAAATTCTCCAGAAGAGCTCTAAATGAAATGGAGATAAGAAATTTATTGGACATCGAGTTCATAATAATGATGGCAAAGATGTCAACAGCATGTGTATGGATATAGTGACCCTGAAAAAAGACCAGTTGGAAATACAGAATGACACAGCACTAATGAAGAACACAGTAGAAAGAATACACAACAGATTAGAGGAAGCTGAAGATCAGATCAGTTAATTAGAAGACAGGGTAGAAAAAATATAACTCAGAAAACCAAAAGAAAAGGCAATTAAAAAAGAGGACAGCTTATAGGAGCTGTGGGACAATATGAAATGTAATAATATTCACATAATAGGAGTGCAAGAAGGGAAAGTATCACATGAAAGACACGTCTCACATTATTTTACTCATATTTGGAATCTAATAAACAAAATAAATTGATGAACAAAATAGATCCAGAGACAAAGAAGCATGGAATAGACTGTGGAATTTCAGAAGGAAGGCAGAGGATGATGGGTGGGTAGAAAGAAATCAATCAAAGAACTTGTATGCATATATGCATAACCCATAACATAGACAATAGTATGGTGAAGGCCTGGCGTGGGTGGGTTAGAAGAAGTCAATGGGGGGAAAAGGGGACATATGTAATACTTCCAACAATAAAGGTTAAAAGAAAATGGCAAAAAAGAAGATAAAAATCTTAGTACTTTAAGGATAAAATCATGCTATCTAATCATATTCTTCTTGAGGTCACAGAAAAATAAGTTGGATCAATCAAAATAAAGCATAGATAGACCTGTTCTTATACCATTTTACTCCAACACAGAAAAATGTTACCATAACTTTACTAATGCATATAACTTACTTAGATTAAAAGGTTATTTCCAAAACATCTGAATTTTTTTAATAACTTACTTTAAACAAGGGACATTGTCTCGAAGGCCATCAGAGGAACTGCTACTGGTGGAAGGATGAGACTGAGGTGGGATGGGCTGAGGACTGGTAGCCCCCACTGGGGTTGACAGAGGTGGCGCCTGTTCAGCCTCCGGGGATTCCACATCATTTATCTCATATAACAATCGAACTTCAAGCATCTGTTGTAAAAGTGAGGTACCTTACTTACTCTCAATAAATATGGTTCATTTTATTACAATTTATATACACAAGTACACTTTAGTGGAAAGAATATTTTTAAATGTAAAAATTAGCAAGATTTCTAAAAAGAAGGATTTAGCCAAAAAAAAAAAAGTGTTGTTTCTAACTCAGCTTCTTAAAAATGGTATGTATGTATGCAAGTATACACATACACACACATTATGATTTTAGAATATATGGCACTATGTTAATACCAGATTAGAGTATGCTCATACAAAGATTAGCTTTCTTCAAGTGAAACATAGAATGTATTTAAAGATTTAAATGTTCACTAAGAAGATGTGCATAAAAATATACTACTTTTCAAAAGAAAAGGAAGATGGCAATATAAACAGTGAAGTGTTTTTAAAAATTCTAGACAAAGCTGACTATAAATAATCTTCTAAATAATTCAAAAATTTTAAAACATTAGACATCTGACAATGAAAGTAACTCTGAGAGCATTACCGGAATGACTTCTATAATAACTTCTTGTTTGCTGAATCTATAAATAATGACATGAGCTGAAACTCCGGCTATGCACAGCATTCTACTTTCGGGACACCAGGAGATGATTTGAATGGCATATGGATCTTCATCTACAATGTCTGTGTTTGGCTTGTCATCTTTATTTCTTGACTTTTCAAATACTTTAGCTGTCTTTAGTTTATATAATACTTGTAGAGTTACTAGATAAAAGATAATATATGTTAGATAATTTCATACAAAAAGAACAAATATAAGGTAATATTTAATCAGTTATACTATGTAAAGAAATAGTATATATTTCTTTGAACCGTATTTTTATTCCAGGTCTGCATTTCTCTGTTATACATTTAGATAATACACACACTGTACTCACTGACACACAAAAAAGTGTACTCATTGTATTCATTAAAAAAAAAAAAAAATCAACATCATGATGAATTTAGATTACCCGAAAAAAATGAGTAGCAAAAGGATTTCGTAAAACATGAATAAAAACAATAAAGAACATTTTGCTTCCTAAAGTAATTTTATAATATTTTCTCTACAAGAGATAAATATAATCTAATGTTACTGTAAAACAAAGCATAATATATCTGGAGTTAATTGGCTTATGAGTGCTTGCTCTGTATATTTTATAAAAAGCAGCCATTCAAAATATCATCTCCTTTTTTGCCATTATATAACCATCATAAATCTCAAAAAGACAATGCAAATTTTGTGGCATAAGTTTAGAATCAGGCACTAAAATTATTCTACAAATTTCTCCTTATTTAAAACATATGCCTGCTTCTCCTATCTCTGAGTTAGGAAGAGGTGGTTTGAAGAAATTTTGAAGAAAGAATGTGAGTACTTATGTTAAGAAGTGCTAATTAATATCCTTAAGAATATCTTCAGTCTATTAAAAATCCTAAATTCAAATACTTGATGAATAGGCATTAAATTTATAGCCTTCAAATTTCAAATTAAGTGTTGTTTATGTAGTTGTTACAATACAAGCGGTATAATAGCAAAGGCTGTATAACATATAATATTAAAGTTATATCAATAATATTCAAAATACTTACTTGCAGAAGCATCCCAGAACTTAACAGACCCATCAGCATGCCTATGAAAAGCAAATGAGAAGAATGTGATGGGGAAAAAAAATTAAAGCTTACTTTCTTTTAAATATAGTTATTTTTAAAAAAAATATATTTTATTGACTTTGTACAGAGAGGAAGGGAGAGAGATAGAAAGCTAGAAACATCAATGAGAGAGAGTCATCGATTAGCTGCCTCTTGCACACCCCCTACTGGGGATATGCCCACAACCAAGGTACATGCCCTTGACCGGAATCGAACCTGGGTCCTTTCAGTCCCCAAGCCGACGCTCTATCCATTGAGCCAAACCGGTCTCGGCTAAATATATTGTTATTTTAAAAGTAGTCACCAAGATGAGAAAAAAGATAAAATTCAGGGTAAATTGTCAGGTTACAGACAATAACTTATTTCTTACTATGTTACAGTATAAAGGAAAGCCCTATTAGTCATGCTAATGTAGTCTTAATTATGTTTAACTATTATTGTTTTATTTGGTGAAACAAACTTTTACTTACCCTGTAATAATTATTTCTGGGTAACTTTGAGCACCCAAACCCCAATTACCTCCATTGATGGGCCACTCCTGAAAAAAAAAAAAAAAAAAAAAAAAAAAGATTATCATATAAAGCAATTTCCAAGCATACCATACATCTTTATATATATCTATGACAATAGTAAACATACTTTGTTTCCAAGAAGGATTTTGTTTATATTTTCTCTAGGAAAGGATTCAGTGTTACCAAACACGTCAATGTGATAAATATAAAATACTGATGCAATAATGTAACATTAAACACTAAAACTCATGTTCAGTACCTTTTTGCTGTAACCTTGACGTTTCTGTCTAGCTCCAACAGAATAAAGTGCAGGAATAAGGTCCACAGGACAATCAGCAAAATATTCACAACATGTAACAGGGGATTCATGTATACTCAAAGGGTAGGGATTTTCAAATATAGGATATCTTTAACAACAGGAAAAGAAAAATATTTATTAATTTAACAAATTATTACTTATGATTAATATGACAATGAAAAACTTAAATATTTTCAGCTCTGGAATGGAAAATAATTTTAGTTTGATTAATTTAAAGTTAACATCCTATAAAGGTCTGCATAACATGTTGTCTGAATTTATATTTTTTCTATTAGGATAGGGTGGTTAGTCTATAGAATTTAGAAATTAACCACATTTAGTAGATTTAACATTTACTATATGCATATATGTAAAAAAATCTTTTATGACAGTTGCTCAAAGAGAATGGTAAACAGAAAGGCTATAGTTGGTATTACATACGACACATATACACACATTAAACTAAGTGGTTTATATACATTTATCTTATTTATTCTTGCACCAAACTGATTTGACTGAAGAACAAAGACTTTGGAAGAATAATGTGCCAAAGGCAAGCGAACTATCAAGAAGTGGCAGAATTTAGAATGCTCTTAATTATTAAGCCATAGTTTCTCAATGAACAGATGCCTCATTCTTATATCAGTAGTGCTAATATAAATTTTCCATTCTCCTTTTTTCTCCATCAATGTAATGCCCAGTGCAATATTTAACTTAGAAATGTTCTCTAGTTTTAGTGGTAATCTAAATTATATATTTAATTTTTCCTAGATATAAAATTATATTAAGTAAAGCAAAAAATGCTATAATAGTAATAAAATTAAAGTAAAACCCTATCTAAAATATAAAAATATTTCTTTACTGATTTTAAAGTTCTTGGAAATGAGAATGATTACTTAAATATCAGAAAAACCAAGTTCAGAGTGGCTATTACCATTATCTTTGAGCAACTGCAAAAATCAATATACTGATCAGCCTACTATTGACAAAAATTAAAAAGTTAAAGGAAAAAATTTTCAGAAAATTCCTTTCTAGACTTCAAAATGAAAACAACTGTCATCACTCCTTCCTCAACCATACATTAAAAAATAGAAGATAAAACTCAAACAAACCAATTGGTGCACTTAAAAATTAACAGGCAACTTTTATCTTTATAAACACACTATATAATCCTTAATCATTCTCTTATCACTACACATTTAACTAACACATTTGCTCAATAAAATGCCTACTCACAGGCTACTTGCACAATGTATTCTTTAACAAATATATATTAATATAGAGCACATGTTCTAAAACTTACCTAACTAAAAATAAAAAAATCATATTAAAAAAAGTTATTCTAGGGCTTTCATTTAGAAATAATGTTTTAAAAGTCCTTTTTTCCACAACAGTAGTATTACTTTCAGAGAAGAAAAAACAAATATAATTGATTATTACAGGTAGCACATAATTAAGTTGATATGAATTTAGGGATGCCTTAAAATAAGAGAAATAAGACACTTCACTTTTATACTTCAGAGTTTCCTAATATTAATAGTAGTCACATTTTGGATCAGATAATTATTGTGGAAAACTGTCTTGTGCACTGCAGATGTTTAACAGCTTTCCTGTCCTCTACCACTAGATGGCAGTAATATCTCCTCCTCTTAATAAAAGTGTCTATGTAAACTGCCAACTATTTCCTGGGGGACAAAATTGTCCCTAGTTGAGAAATACTGACATAATGAATGGGTAGACTTAATTAAAACCATATTTAATGATTATTTCTCAAGAGACATAAGTAGTACAATGTTCTTTGAGTCAAAGAACTTAGAACTAAACATAGTAGTACAATGTTTTTTTCCAATTATCTAAGTTGGAAAAAGCAGAAATATGGTAAATAGCCACAAAAAGTTGCAAAGAAGCTATGATGAGAATTCACAGATTAGACATGAAATGTCTGCTAAAGAGAGAACAGGAAAATGTTTAAAAGGAAAATAAGCCTGACTTTGAAAGTTATATGGATTTTTGATGCCAGTTGAAACAAGCAGTGTTTCAACAGCTTGAAGCTATTTAAGAAAGGACAGGGGAGTGTGATATTTGTTTAACACTCAGTTCAGTGTTCTAGGGATAAGGCACCTGCAGAAAAGCAGTAAAAAATCAGGTTGGAATGGTACCCTGATACCATAACAACTATATGGTAGCAGGCCAAGAAGATGTTTTTAAATTAAAAACACAGTGGTTTAAAGAGAAGAGTAACAAGATTGGTGATGCCTGTAAAATTAATCTGACAATAGCATTGGTGACATTCTGCAACAGGAAGTGAATATGGCCGGAGAACCGACAAGAGCTTTTCTGGAAGTAAAGTGTGGAATGGGAACAGTTTTGGATGTGATGATTCTATGTGCCCCAAGGGCACAAGTATTAGATTGAATCATATGAAATTTCAGAAATACAACAAATTTTAACTTAAAAATGAAAACTCGCCAGAACCAGTTTGGCTCAGTGGATAGAGCGTCGGACTGTGGACTGAGGGGTCCCAGGTTCGATTCTGGTCAAGGGCATGTACATTGGCTGCGGGCAGATCCCCGGTGGGGAGTGTGCAAGAGGCAGCTGGTCGATGTGTCTCTCTCATCGACATTTCTAGCTCTCTATCCCTCTCCCTTCCTCTCTGTGCAAAATCAATAAAATATATTTAAAAATGAAAACTCTATATAATCAATATACTAAAGAAAATTTGTATGTAATTAGAAATGTGCACCTGGAATGTTAAGAAGAGGTCATGCTTATAGCTATAAATGTGATTTCAAAGAAATGCATGCTAAAAGAATCTTTTTCACCACATACAAATATAATTGCTTGTGTCAAATTCAATTTCTTACCCATTTTGTGCAAGGTCTATAAGTACTAAGTCCTTTTCTAGAAGAACAACAACGGCATATGGTTCCTGAAAATCTGGAATAGGAAAATAATGCATGAATAATAAACATGCAAGAAGACTACACATTACATAATGAATATTTTTGCTTGGATTTTATTTTGTTCCATTTTGTCAAGTATTTAACATTCTCATCTTGTACTTAATATAATTTAAGGCTAGTATTTCCTAAATGAAATAAATCTATATCATAACCAATACAAAATTATCTTAGTTTGTAATGTTAAGAAGCTCACAGTAACTTCTATGGTATTACAAATTACAAGGCAGGACTATGGCCAAGAAACTCAAGATTTAAATCTGAATATCCATAAGAACTCTCATTACTGGATAACTTAGGAACTCAATAGAGTGCTATTATAATATCATAATCCTACCTTAAATATTTTATTGTGCCTGCTGACTGCAAAATGCATTACACATCTTTACATCTCTATTAGCTTCACATGTAGTAAAAAAGATCCAGATTTAAATTACTATTGAAATTCATGCAAGTTGTGATGGTTAATTTTATTTGTCAACTAGAGGCCTGATGCATGAAATTTGTGCAAGGGGCTCGGCCCTCACAGCCATGGCAGCTTGCCTTGGCCCTTGCAGCCCCCCCTTCATCTGGAAGGTCATTCAGCTGTCAGATCTAATTAGCATATTATGCTTTTATTATTATTATTAGATATGTCTTCAGGTGGTACTCAATTATTTGGTCAAATATTAGTCTGATATTGCTGTGAATGTATTTTTTTTGCTGTGATTAACATTAAATCAGTAGACTATGAGCAAAGCAGATCATCTTACATAATGTGGGTGGGCCACATCCAATCAGTTAAAGGCCAAAAGAACAAAATAGGTTTTCTGGGTAAAAAAGCAATTCTGCCTTAAGAATTTGGACTAAAGATTGTAACATCAACTTTGTCCTGAATTTTCAGGCTACTGGCCTGTTCTACAAATTTTACACTTATCAGATTTCACAAATGAATGAACCAATTCCTTAAATTCTCTCTATCTGTATTTATGTCTACTTCTAATGGTTTGTATTTTCTTGGAGAAGCTTGTACAACAGTATTTTACAAATTATTAAAATGTTTCTTTTAAAAAATTATTTTAGATAAAGAGAAAGAGAATGAGAGAGAGAGGGATGGGGGGAAGAGACAGAGAGAGAGAGAGAGAGAGAGAGAGAGAGAGAGAGAGAGATATCAAGTTGTTGTTCTACTTATTTATGCATCCATTGATAGATTCTTATGTGCCTTGATTGAACCCACAACATGGAGTATTGGGACCCTGCATTAACCAAGTGAGCTACCTGGCCAAGGCTAAAATGTATCCTAATGTGTATAGTTTTGTTTATCCTACAAAGACACTACTAATATGTTATACTAAACAGATAAAGCTTATTAAACAAAATTAACTTCTGAAATAAAATTTTCAAAGTTATTGAAGGCAGCATCTCTTCCCAGAAGAATGAATACAATACAAAAGGAAACTAATAAGATAATATATAGGTCTTTGTTCTAAATGTAGAGAATGAGCTTTAAAGATGCAAAACTTACCATTTGTGTATGGTGTTTCACACAGTGTTAGGAAATCAACAATGGAATAGTCCATTTCTAGCACTGCAGTACTTTTCCCATGCATAACTGTTAAGCAAGGTCTTCTTCCTACAGTATCATATGACAAACCTCCTGATAAAATAATAAAAGGCTCCCTGGAAATAAAATACATAATTAGGATTATAAATAGCATGGTAGAGTCTAATTATGTTGCTGTATCATAAACGTTTACTTAGTGAAATAATCAAATCTTAAATTCCAACATTTTTATGCATCATTTATGTAATTGAATACTTCCATGTGGATTTTTAATTGTACTAAGTAAGACCCAGGTGGATTCCTGAAAAGGAACCTATAGTTAAGAATGAACACTGATCTCATTTGATTCTCAAACCTTCTTTTGGCCCTTAAAATATTTTCCATTATCCTTTTATAGTATAGTTGTCAAAATTCTTTCTCTGGGTTTCTGCTAAGTCTCTTTAATGGACTTCCATTACCCTGTTTCCCCAAAAATAAGACAGTGTCTTATATTAATTTTTGCTCCCAAAGATGCACTAGGTCTTATTTTCAGGGGATGTCTTATTTTTCCATGAAGAAGAATACGGTACACATTTATTGTTAAATAAAAATAAAGGAAATTTATTACCTGTATACGGTACGGTAGTACGGTAGTTGTCAACAAACCAGACAAACTGAATCCTACAGTATCAAGAATTTACTCATTTACTCAATGACAATCATGTCATCATCTTCTGGAACATCATCATAACAATCCAATTCCTGAATTTCCTGGTGAATTTCTTATGACTCCATTTCTTTCAGAATCAGTGAACCAAATCTCTCGTGTTTAGCCTAGGGGGGGCCTTATATTCGGGGAGATGCCTTATATTTCACTCAGAAGGAAACCTGTAAGTAGGTCTTATTTTCAGAGGATGTTTTATTTTCGGGGAAACACAGTTGCTACTTACATTTATTGCTGAATTCACAGAATACATGTTTTAATCTAGTAATTTCTATTGTGAAACCACCATTTATTTTCCTTGAATGCGCCTACATCCTGGCTTAAAATTGAAATGAGGTTAATAAGTATGCATACAAATTAACCCTTCCTATAATATAAATCTTTCTTCTATTATAATTCTAATCATCTTTCCATACCAATGCTTAACCTCTCCTCTACAAACACTTTGGGACATGTCCCCCCCCCCCCCCCCCCCGTTCAGAATCTACTAAACCTCCTTTCTAACTTGTTATTTTGGTATCTTCAGGATAAAATAACATTCCAGGGAGCCTTGGCTCTAAAGGGTTCTGAACTATCAGGGAATGATTCTGTATGTGCTCATTTTGCTTAAACTTAAGCCCATCACCTTCACTGCAGCAACCACCAATGGCTGAATATACTTTGTGGGTTCAAACAAAGTTAACAAGTGAAACTTGCCAACGATCTCAAAAATAATTTTATACCAGTATACTTAAAATATGTGATATCAGTTTTAATTTAGCAATAATGAATTAAAAACTAATATAGGAAAAAGCTTTACAATAGAGGGATCTCACACTTTAAACTGATGAAAAGCAGTAGACAAAACTCAGTAAATACCACATAATTTATATACATATTAAATGTATCCTGATGACAAAAGGCAGAGCTCTCAATCTAGTTGTCTTAGTTTTAGAGTTATGTGAATTATACTATAAGTATTATTTTAAGTCAATAATTATCTTACAATTAAGAAATGGAGTAACGTATCCTAAATAGGTGTAAGGTTTGAAGAATAAGACTGGGAGAAACTGTTCTAGTTTTGAGAGAATGAAGATAGTAAAAATAAATCTGGGAGAATCTTAATAACTGTCTCTGAAGACAGTGATAAAATGAGAATTAGGAATTTAAGGTGGGAACTTTCTAACATAGTAAAATTAATATGAAAACAGGGAAGGTTATCTCATGAGCCCTTTGAAATTTTAAATCTATGGACTCAAAGAGGTCTTCCACCATTAGGGGCAATTATTTGTAAATCTTCCTGTGGATTTTTCCTGAATAGTTGCTAAGACCAAGTATCATGAACCAAGGAGATACCGTGAAATCTAATCTAGACCTCATCAATTTAGAATTAAATTTGTATCCTGGAAATGATCTATGAAGCTCTCCTCTGAGTAGCTAGGGTTACTTTCATTTAATTATCCAGCCTCACAGAGGCATAGATAGACCTCTCAGTTCACAACAGTGGGAATACATGTAATGAGTATGACTTAATTAATGTTAAATTAAAGACATTCTGATAAACTAGGAAATTTAAAAGTGAATCCAGGTCTCGGTAAACTAAGTGACTTGCGAATTGTTAGGACAGTTCTATCCTAGCCCACACTATCTGTGAGAATACAGTGTTCTAATTAAGAACTTCAGCTCCAAATACAAGCTGGGCTCAAATTCTAGCTCTGTGACTTCTCAGGGCAAGCTAATTTATAACTTAAGCGCTCTATAATTCAATATCTATATGGAAACAATAAAAATACCCAATCCATAGTGCAGTAATGAGAATTATGAAAGACAACAAATTCAAATTGCAAAGCAGACTACCTGGCATATAGTAAGCAAATAATGGATGTTCACTTCACCTATGAATATTTTTCTTCTTGATGCTTGGACACCAAGCCACTTAAGGGTCTTGAGTTCAAGATATTAAATGCTATTTTTGTCTCAAGTAAGGTCATGAGCATTGCTACGACAATGCAAAAGAAAACTGCTTTTGCTTCGGCGTCCAAATGAGTTTCTTTCCTTGCTGCTATGGCTTAATCTTGAGGATTGGTGGTAAGTGTAAACAGAGAATAGGTTTCATTAAAAACGAAGTGTAGCGTGGTTAAGAACACAGGCTTAATTAAATCTGGGCTCTTCAGCTTATGAGCTGCATGACCCTGGACAAGTTGCTCAGCCTTTCTGCTTCAATGTCCTCATCTGCTACAACAATCTTGTACAGAGGATGCTTGTTTTGGGGCTTCGGAAAGTTAGGATTCTTTCATTGGAAACAAGGCCCCCGGAACAGTAGAGAAAGTTTGTAGCAAGTTTGAGAATGTTGTTAAAATAGACTTAGATATTTCCAGAACCAGAATATCACAAATGTACCCTGAGTTTTTAGTCTGTGCTTTTTCATATTCTTATATAGGTAATCCACATACATCTTTTAGTTCACATGTAAAATTAAAGCTTAAGAAAACAGTGTTGTGGCCGAAACCGGTTTGGCTCAGTGGATAGAGCATCGGCCTGCAGACTGAAAGGTCCCGGGTTCGATTCCGGTCAAGGGCATGTACCTTGGTTGCGGGCACATCCCCAGTAGGGGATGTGCAAGAGGCAACTGATTGATGATTCTCTCTCATGGATGTTTCTGACTCTCTATCCCTCTCTCTTCCTCTCTGTAAAAAAATCAATAAAATATATATAAAGAAAAAGAAAATAGTGTTGTGAGTTTGAGGGGAAGGGGATGTAAGTGGAAAAGGGAATAGATGGGAGAAAGATGATAGAAAAGATAAAATAAAATAAATCACCTTATCTTCTAAACCACGTTCTGACACCAGATAAGAGTAAGGGATATACAAGAACCCCAAAAGTTTTCCTTAAAGATAAACTTAAATACATATATCATGTGTGCATATGTGTGTTCATAAAAAGGCTCAGCAGACTATGGCCTTTTGCCTTTTTCTGAAAACTAAGAATGGCTTTTACATTTTTAAATAGTTGAAAAAATACAAAATGAAAAATATTTCATGACACATGAAAACTATATCAAATTCAAATTTCAGTGACTGTAAATAAAGTTTTATTGGAACACAGTTGCATTCATTCACTTATGAACTGCCTATGTCTGCTATTGCACTTCAAAGGCAGAGTTGAATAGTTGTAACAGACATCTACATGGCCTTCTGTTACATAGAAGGCCTAAAATATAAACTCTCTGGCTCCATACAGAAAAGATTTGCCATAGCAAGTGTTATGATAAAATGGGATAAATTAATCTCTTAGTTGTGATTTTCCAAATGTAACTAAATTGCCAAATATGATTATACACACTTTTAGGTTCCCTAACAGAGATGCTTCCCCCCAAACTGGTGATTCTTTAATGGTGGTCCATTTCCTAAGAGAAACTTACTCTTCTAATGATCTGTATGTAGTGCAGAACTCCCAGGAGTTCAATGGAGTACCTGCTTGAAAATTTGAACCCATCCAGAGTTGCTTCTTGTTGAAAACCTGGCCTTGCCTACAACTTCTTGTGTTGTCCACAAGTGAAAAGAATGTGTAGAAGTAGAGGAGAAAAGGAACTAGAATTTAATCAAACACCTACCATGTGCCAAACACACTGTATTTCTTTTAATTCTTCACAACAATGTTATGAAGCTAGGGTTACTATTCCTATATCACTGAGGTAAGGAGAGACTGTCAAGGAGGTTAAGCATCTTGCTGAATACATTAAATGGCAGAACTGAGATTTGGACCCCAAACCTGAGTTATTTCCACTAATCAGGGGTTTTCAAATATTATAATTATGATGCATTGTAAGCAGTGCATTTTACTTCATAACACAATATACAGATACATAAATGTATACAACTGAACGAAAGTTTCATGAACCAAAACTTACCCTTAAAATGTACAGTGCACTCTGCTATTTCCTATTCTAGTCTCTAAGTTAACAATCAATGATCACAATCAACAAAATTATTTTCACAACCCACTAACTGAATATCATTACCTGGTGTCTAAAAATAAAGTAAATAAATCACTGCCCTAAATCTCAAGCTTGGGAAGAATGTTAATGAGGTTCTGTAACTAGTATAAAGGCTGGTCAACCTTGCCATTCTGACACCTGTTTTATGAATGCAAAATCAGAGAATAATTACATTTTAGAAGTTTTTTTGAGGTTATCCAATGCTATTTTGAGACAACGGATATGTGAGACAACTGGTTTAAAGAGTATGTTCAAATGTTTTATATAAATTTATTTAATCTTCATAACAATTCTGTGAGATAGATATCATTATTCTCAGAGGCACAGAAAACTCAGTTAATTTCCCAAGACTGCGCAGTGAGTGAAGAGCTGTTGAGACCCAGATGGTTCAGTTCGAGTTCACTCTCTTAATCACCCTGCTCTAGCACCACTCCCTGCGGCACTTTACACCCAAGTCATTCATTTTTTAAAGAAACAACCTTAACAGAATCAACATTATACTTTTGACTTTTTAAAAAGCACTGGCCGCCGAAACCGGTTTGGCTCAATGGATAGAGCGTTGGCTTGGGGACTGAAAGGTCCCGGGTTCGATTCCGGTCAGGGGCATGTACATTGGTTGCAGACACATCCCCAGTGGGGGATGTGCAAGAGGCAGCTGGTCGGTGTTTCTCTCTCATCGACGTTTCTAGCTCTCTATCCCTCTCTCCTCCTCTCTGTAAAACAATCAATAAAATATATATTTAAAAAAATTATCTTTAAAAAGCATTGGCCATGTAAAAAATATAGCCATATCTTTAATAACAAGAGTATTAAAATGTTATATTAATGATATTGTCACTATTCCCTATGTCTGATCTGTCCTGGTATAATATATACTTTATTTTATTAGAAAATAAAAATTACCCAAGAGTTAAACTATGCTTTATCATGAACAGGTAAAAGCTAATTCTTTATGGATATGTTTTTCTAAACACCAGCTTATCATTTTCTTCCTCACTTTCAGTCACACTATGCTAGGAGCTGGACAATTACAAGTGAGACAGTTATATCCCATGCTTTCATTGAGCTGAAGACATACTTTCATTATTAATCACCAAAATAAGTTCTAGAAAAGAAAGATAAAGTGAGGTTTGATAGTATACTACTGGGGGACCCAACCTAGTCAACATGGCCAAAACATATTTAAAGTAGTGACATTTATGCTGAGCTATAAAGGATGGGAGGGAATTGTGCCTAGAATGATTTCCAGTAAAGAGAAGAAAATGTAGAAGATCCTAGAAGGGAATGGCTCTTCTAATAAACTTTGATAATTTGTCAACAGGAACCAACAGAACACACATTCTGTTGGCATTTGCCCAAGACACTTGCTAGGAACAGGAAAAAAGTGAGAGCTGTCTAGCTGACTCAACTGAGGGTGATTCTACTCTAGGTGGGGGGGAAGTGCAGTAATTTGTCAACATTGGCTACATATTCAAATTCTAAAGACCTATGTCAAGGAAAGAGGCCATGGAATAAGAAATAAAGAAGCTATTTAACTTATGAATGTCATAAGGTGGAAAAACAAATTGGAAAGCTAGAGAAGACTGTTATAAGAGGATGATCATACTGATTTGTTTTATAGAATCTACAAATACAAAACAGCTAAACTTTTTTTTTTTTTTTTTTCCATTTTAGATCCTATAAAAGGAAAAGTATTCTGCCATCCTGGAAGAAACTAGGAACTCATAAATATTACCATTATTCAGGAGTAAAAATGGGAACAAAGAGAGAAAAAAAAATATTCCCTGGACTTTTGCCTTTGTTGCCAATCAATATCTGTTAAAATGAACAGATAATTTAGAAAATATTTAGGATTGTTAGTTTAAATGTTGAGACAATTCATTTTATGTTGTACTAGAAGCCTGGTGCATGAAATTCGTGCATGGGGGTGGGGGCGGTGGGAGGGGGAGTGTCCCTCAGCCCAGCCTGTGCTCTCTTGCAGTCTAGGAGCCCTCAGGGAATGTCTGACTGACGTCTTAGGTTGGGCAGGGGTGTGTGTGAGGGAGGTGGGCCTAAGCTGGCAGTCAGACATCCTTAGTGCTGCTATGGAGTATCCCGCCACCGCTGCTGCACTTACCAGCCGTGAGCCTGGTTCAGGGCTTCTGGCTGAGCGGTGCTCCCCCTGTGGGGGCACACTTACCACTAGGGGCAGCTCCTGCATTGAGTATCTGCTCCTTGGTGGTCAGTGTGCGTCATAGTGACTGGTCATTCCAGCAACCGGTTGTTCTGCTGTTCAGTCAATTTGCATATTAGCCTTTTATTATATAGGATTATAAATACAGGGTTTGTTTTTTTTTTGTTTCACCCAGCCCCCTCACTTCCTCTCCTGCCATATTTTTATTATTTATGTTCCTTTGCCAGTGGACAAATGTAGCAAATAAAAGAAACAATTGATAGTAGGAAGTTTCCTAATAAAAATAAGGGCAGCCATTTATAGAAAGTTTATTATGTGCTAGGTAGACACTGTGTGAAATGTTTTAAATACATAATTATCTTGAGTTATCATAACAACCATTTGACCTATTATCACATTTATGTCATCAATGAGGAAATTAAAGCACAAAGTCAAATAGCTCTGTGCCAAAGGTCACACAGTAAGGGATGCCATAGTCAATTAAGCCAATGCTGCTTCTCTTAAAGTACATTCTACCTATTGTCAGAATGCAGTAGATCTGCTGAATTCCAGAGGAATGCTAAAGAGGCTCAAGGGGAAAAAATATCAATCTAAGAACCAAAATTTGAGACCTGCTGGACTATATATACTACATAAGTTCATTCTCTTACATGGCTATAGAAGTATAACTATATGTTTTTTTCTGGGAAACTAGAACATAAGCAAAAGAAATGCTTTAAAGTGTAAAGAGATGTAGAATTAAAAAAATAAGTTAAATTTTCCCTCCCTAAGTTATATTTTAAAATATAACATTTGGTCCAAACAAAAAAATATATGTAAGGTATATAAAGTGTAAAAACCATTTAATTCTTATATCTATAATATTTAATTTATTTATAGAGGCAATCAATGTCTTCAAATTTAACTAATTTCCTTTAATATTAAACTGTACTTATTTTTTGAACTGCCAAATATTCTTATGAGATTTAAGTTTTGAAGAATACATATAAAATTTCACAATTAATATATATAATATAAATAGGTTAATTTTAAATCATTTTTTTCTTCATTGATATTTTACAATTTTCAGTAGTGAATAAACTCTATGTTAACTGAAGACTAATCTACTAGAATGTATAAAGTTTGATAAGAAAAATAATTCATACTTTCCAGGATATATAACAAAACTGCTAAAGACAGAAAAAACATAAAAATGGATTTTATCCTAAATTTACCAATTTTAGTTATTTTGTGAAATAAAGAAAGCATAAAATTTAAGACAGAGACGGACCATTCTAAAGTAGGTCTTTAGCCTTCAGTGCTATGTGAGCAATTATATACAATAAACATTGGCAATGAAATAAAATCTTACCCAGATCTAGACGTTTTGAATTCCACCTTGAGTATAGGTTTGCATGGTTCTGGCTTCTTCCCATCCTTTAACTGTTTTCCTAAAATATATTTTCCTGTATTAAATTCTAAAATTCTAAGTTACTCTAAAATTCTTACATTGATAGCTTATAAAGTGAAATATAATGAAATCCATCATGAAACATTAAAAAGTTATTCTGGTAGAATTACTTAATACAAAATATTTTAAATAACCAAGTAAATTTATTGCTTGAAATTCAGTGCTAAAAAGTAAAAAAAAGAATAATTTTCTAACAACACTTATGCAATATAATTCTATTATAGTAAGAGAAATTGACAGTCTTCCCAATGTTTTTAATTTCAGAAAAGAAAAATAAAATTTCAATTTACTCAATTAATTCAAGTTTTAAGATAGCCAAATTTGAGAAAAAGAAATATAAATCAGTTTTTTACCCAAGTGTGTCAGGTTAAACCCTATGCTAATAAATTCATTTATATTTATTCTCCTGAAGTAAAATCCATCTGTTGTAATATCTAGAAGGCGGCTATAAAATGTATCAGGGAATCATACTGTCCAAACATTCTGAGTATTTAAAAAAAAATTGTTGATTTCTGTTATCTATTTCTACAAGTTCATTATAGAAACAACTTAGAAACACATAAAGAAAATAAGGTATCTGTGCCCATTTCTTAGAGATTAATCATTTTAAACAATATTTTTCTTAGATCCCAAACACATGCTCCTACCCCAACAATTATCTTTCTTCTCAGTTTCCCCGTCTCCATAGTACCTATCTTATTCTAATAGACTTTTATATTTCATTTGTGTTTGTCTCACCAACAAGAATGTAAATTACATGAAGGCAAAGGTTTCTATGCTTTCTGTTGATGTATATACCTGGTAATAAAACATTGTTTGGCATATAGCGGGTGCTCAGTAACTATTTAATAAATGAATAATTAATAATTTTTCCTTTGAATTAATTCCTAAAAAGGGGACATGTGAGTAGAACTGTATTCCAGAAAGACTGTATCAATTTATACTTCCATCAGCGATGTAGTATTTTGCCACACCTTACCCAAACATTTTTTCTTTTTTTTTTTAAGTTCAGAGTGACATTTTCCTTCCTTCCTTCCTTCCTTCCTTCCTTCCTTCCTTCCTTCCTTCCTTCCTTCCTTCCTTCCTTCCTTCCTTCCTTCCTTATTTCAATACATTTTATTGATTTTTTGCAGAGAGGAAGGGAGAGAGATAGAGAGCTAGAAACGTCGATGAGAGAGAAACATCGACCAACTGCCTCTTGCACACCCCCTACTGGGGATGTGCCTACAACCAATGTACATGCCCCTGACCAGAATCGAACCCGGGACCTTTCAGTCCACAGACCGACCTTCTACCGCTGAGCCAAACCGATTTCGACCCAAACATTTTTTTCTGATTTGATAGGTGGAAAGAGAATCTCATTTTAATTTTCATTTTTAATCCCTAACTATTCTTAGGCTTATTAGTCATCTGTATTTCTCTTCTTTTAAAAATAGCTTATATCTTTTATCCATGTTTGTATGTAATCTCCATATTTAAAAATAAATTTAATACTCAAAGGTCATTAACATTGTACCTATCATATATTGCTAATATTTTCCCTGGTGTCATTTGTAACTGAATTCTTAGCAGTTTTAAGAAATTACACATTTTTAAATGTACACATTTAAATAATGAAATCTATCAGTCTTGTCATGCTTCCAGTTAAGAAAACTTAAAATCCCAAAATATAAATTCTTCCAAAACTAATTTATAAATGTAATGTAATCAGAATCCCCAAAGCCTTTCTTGAATTTGATTAAAATGGGGACTCAATGCCTAAGAACAGCTAAGGAAACAGGGAAATGAGATTAACTTCCAGAATGACAGTAAGGACCTCCGTGATCTCACTTTCCCATAGAAATTGAAATACTAGCAAAACAACCAAAGTTAAATTCTTCAAAACGCTGGAAATTAACCAAAGTCACAAAACGAGCAGAACATTGTCTACTCCATAAAAACAACTGTACCTCAGAGACAAGGAGGACTGACACATTTTGATGGAGTGCTTAGTCCCATCCCATTCACCTAACTAGGTGGCCAGGAAGAGATAGGAAAAGGAATCAGCAAACACAGAGGACTCTTTTTTTCTTTTCTTTTGCAGTTCCAATAAAACCAGCTTCCCATGAGTACAATTAACATTTTATCCCAACTTGCAGCTGCCTGGAAAACCATACTCCCAAGGTGCTGTGCAATTTTACTTGATACAGACATCAACTCAGAGAGACAAAATACCTTACCCTGTAGGGCATCAGAAATAATACAACCTGCTGGCAATATCCAGCTGCCCAAGGCTGTGGTTTCAGTTGAAACACTTAAGAAAGAGCCTGCGTAGGAATGTAAAAGAAAATCCTCCAAAACTAGACATATTCCTGGGATCAAAAAGGCTGAATACATGTATAAGGAAGGCCGCATTCAATCCCAGGAAAGACCTGGGAAAGGAGAAGGCCAAGGTCCCTGTCACTCATCTTTGGGCAACTTTGAGACCTTGAGCAAACAGGAAGTTACAAAATTAAATGGGAGTTACTGCTGGCAGGAACACTAGAAAAGAGAAACTGATGGCTAGTGGAAATATAGAGGGCACAGCCTTTTTTTGAAAGCAGTCTGAGAACATTTATTAGGAATTGAGAACAATTTCTATAAAATGTGTACAGGATAGTAATGGCAACATAATCAGTAGGGATCAAGAACTGAAAACAAAGTGAATGCCCATTAATTTGGAAATGCTGAATAAATTGGCTACATTACATGGCCATTAAAATGAAGAAATTAAGAGTTATACCAGATAACATGGAAGAGATTCCTAAAGTACAGTGGGTTAAGAAAAACAAAATGCAAAAGAATCCCAATATAATTCTACTTTATGTAAAACAATAATAAAAAATCATGGTTATAAATTATTAATATGTATGATTTTAGAAAAAAATATATACATATATATTTTAGAACACCTGTACAATTTTTAACATAGCTTAGCTATTAGGGCAGGAAAGAGGATTGGGCTGCAAATGTGGATAAAGATTGAAGGAGAAGGAACTTGTATGGTATGATCCCATTTGTATATAATGAGGTACACATGTATGTCTACATGTCTACAAAAACCTATCAGCCTTTTTTGTCTTTTCCATCTTTGGTTTCTTGCTTAGGAAGTCCTTCTCCACATAAAAATCATATACACTTTTTTTTGCAATTTCTTGTAATTGCTTTATATTTCCCTTATTTTATTTAATTATTGATTTCCAAGTATGTTTTGGTGTAGAGAAGTTACTTTCCCCCTATTTAATTAATACATTATCAGTCATCTCAGTGCAAATTTAATATTTTGAGCTATAACTGCGAGAAAATAAAGTGTAGCATTTATAGCTTTCCCCAATACTATAAAATATCACCTTTATTACATAAAATTTTTATAGATACGTGCATGCCAACTGGTATTGTAGCATTTAATCTTGCCTTAAGATCCTAGGAGGTCACTTCTTCATTACATAGAAATGATGGTGCAGTGGAATCTTAAATCTCTGGCACCCCAACATATAAGAACCAAGAAGTGACTAATGGTGGAGGTAAGTAGAACACCAGACTACAGGACTGAAAAGGACTGCTCGGAGAGAAGACTAGATTGTTGAGGTGGAAGAGGTTAATTGAGGGGGAAAAAAGGTCTGAGGGCAAAAAAGGAAGTTTAAATATGAAAAGAAGTCCCTTGTGCTGTATAAGAAATGTAAGAACATCAACCTCTAATTCAATCTGTTGAGAGACACAGGACCTTCCAAGTAAAGCATTTAAATGTTTGCTCTGAAGAAGGCCAGCATCAGACTTTTATCTTCTACCACCCAAAGCTCTAATGGGAGTGTCAGACTGATATAATTTGGAATTACAGATGCAAATTTCACATTTGCTTTAAAAAATTATTGTAACATACTTTTAATAAAGTAAAACAATGGTTCAGATATAACTCATCTTACTTCAATATTCACTTGTAATCTTTCAGTGGCTAGAACAATTTTCAAAAAAGGGTGTTTTATTTGCTGAAACCTTTTCAAGTCTGAGCTTATATAAATTAAATAAAACTTGGCTAGGTACAAAATTCTTAACTCTTTGTTTTGCTTAGTATTCTTTTGACATTGCTCTATTGTGTCTAGCATTTAAACTTAAAGTTTAAAACAGTCTAATTTTTATTTCTTTATAAGTAAATGTTTTCCTATCCCCTGCTAGAATACTAACAGCATATTTTCATTATCTCTGTAAATAAAAATTGTTGCAGTTTTTATAGTGATCTTCATTAACCCTGCTTGGTAGTTAGTCCTTTTGATGTGCATACTGTGTTTCCATGTCTTCTTCCCCCCTCACCTCAGATCTTAAAAGTATTTCACCAATTATTGTTTATGTTTCAAAAGGTTTATTTACCAGTAATCCAAGATTAACCATTTTCTAAATCAAATCAAATAATAAGCACTAGCTAATATTTTATAAAGCATATGTCAATTAAAGGATGCTTACAAGATCACCAGATTTCACCACTAGGTGTCATCTTACTTCTTACTTGCTATGCCACCTGAGTAGCAGAAATCTGTGCTTGTTCTTTCAACTGCCTGTGGATTACCTTGGTAAATTGTTGAAAATATCTAGTTAATTATAAAACTTCACTGGATAAATCACATAAACCTCAACATAACATATGATTTCTTCTTGTCTCTTACTATGCCCTTCTTCCCACTCCTGTAAGCCACCCAACCAGAGAATTAATTGGTCCCAACTCCTGTTGATTCTAATTCCAAAATTTTATTCAGGTATGCCCAGTTCTTCCTATTTGCTGTCACAAATGAACTCTTCATTATTAATTGTTTACTAATGCAATGGTTCCCTAATTGGCCTCCCAGTTCACTTCCTAGTTCTGCCTCCAGTTCACTGGATACATTACCAACAAAGTAATATTTCCAAAATGTAAATGTCACATCTGTCATAGTAAAATCATTTACCAGGTCACCATCCTGAAAGCCAAAC